TTCGTGTACCTAACCACTTAATATCTCCGAAGTCTCATGTGGACCCGTATAATATCGTGGTTTGGTTCGATTCCCTAACTCCGTACTATAGGTTGGATGTCTTGTTCTTCAATAGCCCGCGCTCTTCCGTGCTCTTCCGTGCTCCTCCTGGCCTCGTGGTTCCCTGGTCAGCCGTGGTTCACGCTGGTTAGTGGTTATGCGCTTTCTCGCTTGGGTTCACGCACCTTCGTGCGGTCTCTTTCGAGGATGCTAACTATTCCCCGTTCTCAAACGGTTACGTATGCTGCACCGGGTTCGTGGCACATAGTCTTTCGTGACTGTCTCCCATCACCGGTACGCTAGCCGAAGGGTGCTATTCCGTGGTTTGGTGCCCCCACGCAGTCGGGTTGTTTTGTCGCCCGTATATTGTGCTCTCCGGGTGAGGTTCCATCGACCACTTTATCACGCTATCGTACAATCGCAGTGTGGTAACGCTGTCTATGGTATTGTGCTTGCGTTGTGCATCTGCGTTGCCCGTGATATCGTGTTCTACAATGGCTTCGTGCTCCACAGTGTGCAATCGTGGTGACCCCAAGCGTTCCCCCATGGGTTTGTGGTTGGTACACCGTCCGGGCAATCGTGTTGTAATGTACTACGGTCGTAGTGGCTCTGTAAGCTCATGTTCTACACCGGTATAACTCTCCGCGGCTCGGTGGTCTTCCGTCTATAACTTCTGTGGCTGCGTTTTCTCCAATGATTTAGTGGTTGGTCCACTGTCCATGCGATCGTGTTACATCTGGTGTCGCGGCAGGTCTGTGTCATCGTTAGCTACCTATGTGCTGCGCTCCGTGGATCAGTGAGCTCCTGTTCTACCCAGGCATCGTGCTCCAAAGATTGATGATTTCCCGTTTCTGGCCTCCCGCGGGCTCAGGTTTGGTCGGTTGACTGTGCTCCAAGTTTAGCCGTGGTGTTGCTGGAGAATTGGTTTTGTGCACTCTCACCTGTTCTACTGTGGCTTCGAACGTCCGTGCTCTTCCGTAACCCGAGCTTTTCAACATGCTGGGATGTCAATATTTTTTCCCCTTCCGTGGTACGTGCATTCCCGTCATGTTCTTGTCCTTCCAATTTGTATGGCTGCGTGCTCTCCCGTGGTTCGTCTCTTACTGAATAGCTCGTGGCTTTTGTTGTTTTCGTGCCCATTCGTGGTGCG